ACTTTAGGTTGATTATATGTAAAGGCATTATAATGAGAAGAAAGTTACTTGAGGATCTATTCTGTATTCCTTAATATAAAATGTTAGAAAACAATTTATAAGGTAACATTAAAATCTAATTATGAAATAAGGATGTACATTCCTATTTATAATTAAATTAGAGGCCCAGCACATGATTACCTAGTGCATGTATAGGGCCCCCGAGGCCTAGCCTGCCATCAGGGCCATGTCTGCTGCTCTGTGATGCCTCCCATGCTCCATGGAGGATGTTATAAATAACTCCCAACTCATGCCATTCCCCCACGTGCTGCCACCTCCTACCACCGGCCACGTGGGTCCCACCTCGCCATAAGTACCAGCCTGCAAAGGGTACTCCATGCATCTCGTGGTGACCAGTTGTTTTGTGGTGATACCCATGACCACAGGCCTTTTATGATATAGACAGTAAACATGATAGAAATAAGGTATATATAACAATTTTGTATGTGATAAATTGTCTTTGAAATTCAACCTTAGCATTTAAAAGCATTATCAATATATTCAATTTACGACATTCATGTTTACATTGCCACTTTGGATTTTGTTTACTGAAATAACAACTCACCAACTGTTTGAAACATCTTATTAATTTAACCCCACACGTAAAATGCGATCATAGAAACCTTAGCATCATTGACAATATGGAGAAGCATGAATACAATTTTCTCAATCCCCTTCTCTGCTGACACAGAATTCACTTATGTTATTAACGTGGTAAGGAACGAAAAAAGAATGAAGGGTGCCGCTAGCTTATTGTTAAAGTAAAATAGTTTTAATTTAATGAGACCCTTCAGTTGCTTTACAATATTTCTACCAAAGTGAACAGAGCAAAGCAAAATAACACAAACTGGCCCTAATGGATTTTTTTCTATACTGCTGCTTTCCCACCAGCTCATGGACTGCTGAGTCTGCCTAGTCCTCAAAGTGCAATATGCACTCAACATCTGAAAGAGAGAAGCCAAAAAGGCTTTTAGTATGAGCAGTCGGAAGGGAGGCAATAGAGTCGAAAATGCGATTACAGTGGAAATGCTCCCTGTTTGGGTAAGATTATCACCTACAGTGAATTAAGAGGCAAGATTGCAACTGTGCACACATTTTCAATAGCCCTTAATGAAAACTGCTGTGATTTTCTGTTTTTGGCTATACCCCATCCAGGGTTTTGTTGTTGTTGTTTTCTTAATTATTTTTAAATCCTCACTGGAGGATATGTTTTTATTTATTTAAAGGCGGAAGGGGGAGAGAAAGAGAGACAAAGAGAGAGAGAAAGAGAGGTTGAAACATCTATCAGCTGCCTCTCATACAGGCCCAACTGGGAAAATCCAATCTGTAACCTTTTCACGTATGGGACAATGCGCTAACCAAGGGAATCAGCAGGCATAAGCGTTTCTTAATTCTTTTGAATGAAATAGGAAGTTCCAATATCTTATTATGAGTAAGAACACCTACAACTTCACAACTCTACCTTCAGTGGATACCACATTAAAATAACATTGCTGTCATCAGGAAAATTATGAAAGAGATTTAATGTCCTCCAAGCTTAATTAGAACAGCTTATGCTTATTTAGCGTTTATCTCCACATTATTGTTGATAGCTCTGTGAAGGTATCTTAGTGTAGAGAGAGCTTCCCTAATTAAATGGCTTATATTTGAGTCATTCAGCAATTTCACAACACGCTGGTCAGTAATCATCACTCTCAGAGTGATGAATGGTGACGGTGGGCTTCTAAAGATGAATCACTCAAGAGGAGGCTGAACATGCTATGAAGATGCATGGAGTTTTAGGAGAAAAAAATATATATATAATTTTTGAAATATTTATGATTTCCCACACCAAAAGACGGTATTTTATATTTTAACCTCCTGTGTTTAACTACATGTGCCTCTATGACATTTGAAAACCTGAGCTATTCTACTAACAAAGGGGATTCCTCTCTGTGGTCACATTCCTAATATTAATATAGCTAAAATGTTCATTATGGATTATGGCTCCTGCAGATATAAGCACAAACTCTTGGGGAATTTCTGGTCATGATCTAAATTTCCAGAGATTGATCCCATATTACCATATTATGCTTTGAATATATTTATCTCATTAGCTCTTGCAGCAAATGATAGAGATCCTCCAATAAACATTTGCTCACAACTAAATGCGTTATTTTATTTTATTTTTTCTTATAATAACAAAAATTTAAAACTAAATAAATATAACATATTACAAATAATCTCCAGTATACTTGAACAATGATGGCATAAAAGATAAATGCTAATTAACTAGCTGAGAAATGCAGACTAAGATGTTTGGTGAAAGTTTGGGTAAATCAGAATCTCATTCAAGCACTAGAATTGCATGTCATTAGTGCTTATTAGTGACTAAATAAATATAAATAACTTATGAATCCATATTTCTATCGGTGGTATGACATAACAAATAATAAATTAGTGCCTAACATTTTTTTCTCAGAAGTCATGTATTTGGGGGAATAAAATGTGAAAGTTTATTCCCCCAAATAAAATTATTTGATGAAATTATATGAAATACCATTCACTCAGAATGTATTGAGTTAAAATAATTTTATTTTATGTTAATTATTTTAAAAATAATTTTATTGATTTTTCAGAAAGGGAGGAAGGAGAGGAAAAGAGGGGGAAGAAAGAGAGAGAGAGAGAAATTGATTGGTTGCCTCCTATATGCTCCCCAACTGGGAATGAACTTGCAACCTCGATTCCTGACCTGCCCAGAACTGAACCCATGAAATTCTGGTGCACAGGATGATGCTCCAACCAACTGAGCCAGAACCCAAAATAATTTTGGATTTATGTCATATTATGAATGACTGAAGTATTTAATAACTTAATGCTATCATGTCAAAGAGAATAAATGTTAGAGAAATAAAAAAAATATATTGTGATATCTATAGGAGAGTGATTTGAATATTCATTCCTTTAAAACTATATTATAGTGTTCAATTTTATCTAATTTAGTCTAAAAACAAAATATATGTTAAATTCATTAAATAATTTTTTAATAATAATGTGACATTAAAAAAATTTAGACGACATTATTTGGCAATGAATAAAGAAGAATGCTCTATAATATTATTCCTCATCTATGTATTTGCTAAGTCACTGTGTTATTCAGACCTTTTAAATTTTTATTTGTACGCGCTGATAAATTTGATTAAAATGACAACAAGGTCCTTAAAACAGTTAGAAATTTATTATGTGCTATTGCCTAATTTTTTAAAATAATTTTAATCAAAACACCAATACATTATACTATTATATCACACTAATCTACAAACTACAAAAAAAATAATTCCACTCATATATATAATCCAACTGGGTTTTTGTAAGTTTCTCATGAAAGTGACCTTGCTGATATAGGTAAACATTTTCCAAATAACTCAGCTTTCTTCAGAAGTAAATAATTGACCTATTAGCCAAGTTGAACAGATAAAAGGAAAAAAAAAATCTACATCCTAAGGCTTATAGTTTGTCTTGTTTTCATCATATCTGTAAATAGAGGAAGTAGAAATTCCAAGTTCTGTCCCCAGTATTTTCCTCAATTTAAAGTTACATTAAAATAAATTTTATAAGTACTATTTTAAATTGTTTTGTTTTCTTGATAAGTCAATAACTTTTACTAAACAGGGCTAAGGGTAAGGAGAGATCAAAATTTGTTCTATATATGGTTGCAATAAACTATAACAAAGAGCTTCCTTACAACTAATTCAACTATTATCTTTCTTTTTAAAATAGTTCTCATATCTGAAATATCCCAGTTGCTTTTTGAGATTTTTTTATAATATACTCTTTTGATTTATTTTTAACAAACCTTTCCTCAAAGCAAGATAGTACACTGGTACATTGTATTTACAAAACAAATGAGCAAATAATAATTTTAAAAAAACCTCCAATTTAAAGTTTTATATTAAGTACAGGTCAAATTTACTTACTTAAGAAATTTGGAAATTATGAGTTCTATTATGTAACTATTCCTGAAAAATGTATGTGCTATACTTCAAGGTCCTTTTACATTCTCCTCAAATCTTACTCAATTCTCACTATCCTGTACTACTCAACTTAGTTTAATAAGGTCATCACACTTAATAATATAAGATGGCGAGCTCTAAAAGTTATTTTTTTCTGTTTGTAAATCTTACTGTTCCATCATATGTATTGATGTAGAATTCATTTGTTCAACATATAATAACTTAGGTCTCAAAGAATGCAGGCCCTGTTATATGTTCATATAGAAAATAATACATTAACTAATAAATTATAATACAAGAATACACTCTGTTTTGTGTATTTATAAATGTAAACATACTTTTGCCTCTCTCTCTCATATATATGAAGTATAAGACAAAATTTTAGTTTTTTTTTCTGGCAATTTTTAATTTTATTTCATAATTATTATTAAAATAATTTTGTCAGATGGAAGAAAGGGGATATTAAAAATAATGAATCCTGCATGTCAAATATTCTAGCTATGTTACAGGAATAATTTATTATATGTATTTTCTCTTAAGAAAATAAATACTCAACTAAACTATTTGTTGCTCATTCTTTTCATTAACTTTCTAACTCAAATACAACACACATAAGCCACAAATTTGAAAAAAAAAAAAAAGTTGCAAAAGCTTCATTTTATCTGTAAAACATTTTTTAAAATGTCCGATTGAAAAGGACTTTTAGAGGGATGCTGGAGGATTTTTCAATATTGATTCAGTAAAAATGCCTACCGACCATTTTGGTAGAAATAAAATTGTCTTTTGTTGCTTATCCATTTAGAAGCAGATGTCTAAATTGCTTCCCTGATTTTCCACAGTAACAGAATGTAGCAAGATGCATTCACAAAAAACAAAACTCATAATGGTCTATGGAGGCACCATTTTTATCACTTTCTCACAGCAACTAAGATTAATGAGCAAAGAACAAGTGGCTGACATCAAACATACCCATGGGGGTGCCAACGCCATAACCTTTGGAGTCTATAAGGCCACCAATCTGTGTCAGGTTGCAGTTCCGCTGGGTAACAAATTCAATGGTTGTTGACTCCATTAGGAAAGCATAATCAGAGGTGAGGACTCGCTGGATTCCTTCTTCATTACTTTTGACGAGCACTGACTGCCTCCTGCTACTCATAAAGGCCCACATTTTGTCATACGTAGATATTTTTGATTTCTGGGGGAAAAATAAAACACATAAGAAAGACAATTCTTAGTTTCCATGTGACCCTACAATATTAAGGTGGACTGACTATATTTACTTTACTCATACTACCTTTAATTGTATTATTAACAATAGTAACATCTAAACAGAAAACCAAAATCTGTATAAAATTTTTCTCATAGCAATTCCTCTATGTTTCCAGGAATAGTACAGATTTATGTAACAAATATTTCAACTGTGTCCCAATGCACAAAAATGCACAAGTAGAAAGTCACAGAAGCTAATAAAGAGGAAAATAAACAAGATTAATAAGGAGGGTCTTTTGTGCTTATCTCTCACATGAGTGCTTCATGTGTATAATTTTGTCTTTCAACATTACAGTAACATTAATTTGATAGAGACAGACACTGGACAACGACTGACACTATAAAACTTCAAGAGGTTATTTTTCTCAATTTGGTTGATTGTAAGACAGATGTCATGTCAACCCCCAAGGATACTCAAAGACAAGGTTAAAGAGATGCGAGTAATTCATTACAAATAAAGGTGTTACAAAAAAGAATGACTACATTTCCACTGAGACTCAGCCTGCCTCTGGACAACAGAAAATCTATCATTTTCTATTATCCATATTGTCCTTTCAAATCTATTATCCATTAACAAACTAAAGATTTCTGGACCAATAAAATTGAATAATTTTTATATGCAACTGCAAATTCTCTGTGGGCTTTACTAGGATTTCATTGCTAAGGGAAAGAAATGAGTTTTATTAAGAAGGAACTGGAACAACACAAACATGAAAAAGGTGAGTATCTGCTTATGGAAAGCTCTTCTGTCAATCCCTTACCATAGTTTAATTCTTATACATCACAATACCAAAGCTATAAACAGAAGATATTTATCTTACTGGTTGCACTGTTATAAAAAGCTAAAACAGCCAAATGATTTTCAAATAAATATATATGCAATCTTTTTACAGTGTAAGCATGCTTTTAATCCTACATGGGCCAGGTCATAAATGTGATAGTACCATGGCTTCTACTGACAGGCAGGTACAGCCTGTCCATTGTGGTTGAGTGGTTGATCATCGACCCAGAAACCAAGAGATTGCGGTTAGATTCCTGGTAGGGGCACATGCCCGGGTTGTGGGCTTGGTCACCAGAAAGGGGGCGTGTGGGACACAACAAATATATGTTGTTTCTCTCATCGATTTTTCTATCTCTCTATCCTTCTCCCTTTATCCCTCTCTCTAAAAATTAATGAAAACATAAAAAAGTATATCATAACAAAATGTTTATAAAAATTCTTGCACTGTTTCAATGATAAAAGGGGAAGAGAAATCTTAACTTTGCTGGAGGAAAAAAGTAAAGGTATGTGCATGCTATAGAAAAGCAAGTATAGCATTAGGGCTAAGAGAGGTAAGAAATGCAAACCTTTGCTCTCCTGGGAAATTGAAACATTCTAACAGGACAATGGCTCAAACTCTAAAAGAGAGCAGTGAAAACACCTCGAATAGCAGCTCAAACTTGTAATCTTAATAATCAGTAACATAATAGTTAGAAAAAGTTCATTTCCTTTCAAAGGTAAGAAAATTTTTCCTAATGTTTGCATTAAATGAGGATTAAATACAAACAAAACTAAAATTATAGTTTACCTGCGGATTACAATAATTTTAGGTAAAAAAATTGAATGCAGTTTTCGATTTAGTAAATCTGTGACTGAAAATAAACACAATTCAATAAAGGATAACACTAATTTTTTTTGTGATACACACACACACATCAATTGAAAATTTAAAATGTAATATCTTTAGCAGGAGTGATAATACAATATCAGAACATGGGTGGAAAAAACCGAGTAGGGAATGAGAAAGTGAACAAAAAGTTATTTTTACCTGTATTGGCCACAAATTGCCTAAATTATCTGCTTTGCTTTAGCTATTAAAATATTGGCAATCAGTGTCTTCTATGCCTATTTAAATTTATCCATGAAATTTTTGCTTTGATAGAGCCAAAACACTTTTTTAATTTAAATTATGTTTCTTGAATTATGCTGCCATAATGTTTGACATAAGCTGGAAACAATTCTAGATATTGTCCAGATTCCAGGTGTTGCAAAGACTTAACATGCAAGGAGATCATGGATATTGCCTTTCTTATAGGAGCAGTGAGAAGCGGAAGCAGGTGTGAGGCAGATTTAGGATACAATCACATTTGCATTGTGAGACCACTGAGGCTACTATGTGGAGATCAGCAATAGCAAAGTTAAATGTAAGAAGGAGTACATAGCAACAGTCTATGTTAGAAACAGTACATGTATTAGAAGAGTAGTGTGGAAAATAGAAAGAAATGTAAGTATTCAAGATGTGTGTGTGTGTGTGTGTGTGTGTGTGTGTGTGTGTGTGTGTGTGTAATGGATAACACTTGGTCATTATTGGAATAATGGAAGTAAAGAAGAGATTTAGGTTAACTCCTTGCTTTATCTGGGAGTAAAGAAAACATATATTAAGTCAGAGACACCTAAAGAACATCTAAATGGATCAGTTGTGATGTGAAGTTAGATATGTAAGTTTGGGCTTCAGAGGGAAATTCAAGACAAGATATATGGATCTTGGGGTCCTCCTGGATACAGAAGACAAAGTAGCAGCTGGAGGAGAAAATAGCCATAGACAAAGGGTCAAGTTCTGCACAGTTTTGAACAATGGCTGGCAGAGAAGACTGAGCCTGCAAGTGAAACATAAAAAAAGTAAAAGAGACAGACCTCTTACCATTTGAGACAGCATGGAAGGACCTGGACAGTGTAGCTAAGTGAAATAAGCCAGTCAGAGGAAGGCAAGTATCACATGATCTCACTCATATGTAGAATCTAATGAACAAAATAAACTGATAAACAAAATAGATCCATAGACATAGAAGCATGGAATAGACTGATGAAGAGTCTCAGAGGAAAGGGGAGTGGGGAGCAGGAAGAGATTAACCAAAGAACTTATGTGCACATAGACATAATCCCTGGCACAGAGAACTGTGCAGTGAAGGCCTGTAGGGGAGGCTGAGCTGGGGGTTAATAGGGGAAAACAGAGGACATCTGTAATATTTTCAACAATAAAGATAAATTTATAAAAAGAATTATCAAATTAAATTAAGGAATAGAATCTACAAACTGTGGTACCGTGATCAAGGCAAGAGAATATTAATTGAGGAAGTTGTCACTGTAGTGATTTGCCAAAATGAGACAAAAATGCACACAATGAGAATGGAATAATATCTTTGGATTTGGCAACAGAGAGTTCCTTGGTTATTTTAGCAAAAGTTAATTTAGTGGAGTGAAGCACTTAGAAATAACATTGAAACAGATTAAAGAATGGGAAAGTAAAATGAAACCAGTAAATGCCAAAAGAGAAAAAAATCAGAAAGTAGGTCACTGGAGAAGAGGATTTACAGGAAAGGGCATATAATATTTTGGTTTAAGTAAGATTTTCAAGGATTAAAGAGATTTGAGCATGTTTACACAACAATAGGGTATTTTTAAAAAATATATTTTATTGAATTTTTACAGAGAGGAAGGGAGAGGGATAGAGAATTAGAAACACCGATGAGAGAGAATCATCAATCAGCTGCCTCTTGCACACCCTCTACTGGGGATGTGTCCACAACAAAGGTACATGCCCTTGACTGGAATTGATCCCGGGACCCTTCAGTCTGCAGGCCGAAGCTCTATCCGCTGAGCCAAACCGGTTTCGGCAACAATGGGGTATTTTGAGGGGAAAAGGTTTAACAGATAGAAAGAACAATCAAGAATTTAACATTTCTACTAAGGTGAGTCACAAATGGAATAGAAGAGGATTTAAAAAACTAATTTGGCTTGATTTTTGAGTTCAAAATATTTATATTAAACACATGTAGAATTATATTTATACACTAACCTATTGTATAAGGAAATGAGAAATTAAAAAAACCTCAGGTAGATTTCTTTTTAATAAAATAGAAAAATGTTGAATGTCTTCATAGAAAAATAAACTATAGGATCTCTAAGATGATGGAACTATACAAGTTAAAGATTAGGATTGAAATGCATTTAAAGTTAGGAATGAAATAAATACAAATATAATTAATCACATATGAACATGTTGGGTATGAAAGTTATATGTAAACTTTGAAGAAAGGACATATCAAGTTGCAATGTGAACAAAAGTTTGTTGGTGGAACATAGGACATGTTGAGAGAACCACCTGTACTATGTTGTGCTCAATATCCTATCACTATGATTAGTTTCATTCAATGAAATAGCACTGACCACTATTAAGGGATGTGATAAAATTATGGATAGAAACTAAGCTGCTGAGCTGAAATATGCAAAGAAGTGAGGACCAACAATGACTCAGAATTTGGGATATAGGTTGGCCCTATGCATTGCTGCTGCCAAATTGATTACAAAGTCTTTCCAGGAGAAATGTATTATTTAAGAGAAATATGAAAAATCAACGTTAGGTAATAAGCTAAATGTCTATATATAAAAGCCTAAATGACCAGCCGACTGGTTGCTATAACATGCACTGACCACCAAGGGGCAGATGCTCAATGCAGGAGCTGCTCCCTAGTGGTCAGTGCACCCCCACATTGGGAGTCCCACACAGCTGACCTGGATGAGCAGGAGTGGCTGCTCTCTGGATCCCTAACGGCCATGCTGAGGGACCCCACTGAGGCACAAATTCATGCACCAGGGCTCCAGTGAAATAATATCATTCTCTGTAAGGAGAGAAACGAGATGATGACAAATTAGAGCATAGGTGCTCACATATAGTGGTCAAGTAAAAGAAATATTAAATTAGTACAAATTAAATTAGCATCTTGTTATACTCCTTAATTTCACAGATGAGAAATTTAATTGGTAAGACATTACCAGTGAAGGTAGATTTGTAAAGAGAAAAATGATGATAGGATTTGTGACATCATGGTTTTATAGAAGAATTTTACTCATATAATAAAATTACTTCTTTGGCAAAAATGTAAAGC